TGGGCTGTGTGTGTGTGTGTGTGTGTGTGTGTGTGTGTGTGTGTGTGTTTCTGAGACAGGGTCTCTAAGTTGCCCAGGCTGGGTTTGAATTTGTGGTCTTCCTGCCTCAGCCTCCCAGGGTGCTGAGAGTACAGGCGTGCACCTCCACACCTGGCCAGAACGTTTTATAAACACCTGCTGGGGACCAATAGTTATGTTAGGGACCAGAGGACAAAGCAGTTGTAAATGTGCAAATACGGGATGAAGGACTTTGTTCTCCTGAGTGCCAGGCTGGAAGACAGGTTGAGAGAATATTACATAGTATATAATGTACATAATATATTATGCATACTACACTATATAATCTATGCTAATTAATATATTTTACTTAATGTACAATTAATAGTAGGTAAGGCGTACGGTGCCCTGTCCCGCCATACTTTTTGCATTGCTAATAACAGCAGCATTCACGGCCAGCCTTCCTCGAGCACCAGCGTCCGGGTGCCGCAGCCCTGGCCTGGAGCAGCCCCATCCGTCCACCTCCCAGCAGCCCAGCAGTGGGGCTGTGCCTGCGGGCAGAGGGATTTGAGCTCCATGATAAGATCCCCTAAAGGGACCGGCGGAACTGTGTCTTCACCGGCCCTGTGACGGCACAGGCGCCTCTGTCCTCTCCCTGCACCAGCCCCAGGGAGGGGGCAGGAAGCCCATTTGCCAGAGGGGTAAACTGAGGCAGGGGCAGTGGAGAGGCCTATGTGGGCCTGGCTTCAGACTGGCTTTCATCGGTGGCTGGCCATTTATGACACGTCTGCTTCTCCTGCTCCAGAATGGACCTCCCCACCCAGCCCCAGGGACCAGGGACAGCCCTGATCCCTCCCAGCCGACCTCTGTAGGGTGGGGAGCCAGGAGGGGCTGGGGCAGGTCACCAGTTCTTTTTCTTTTTTGGGGGGAGGGGGTGATCCTGGGCTTTGAAGCCAGGATTTTTGCCCTGAGCTACATCCACAGCCTTCCCCCCACCCCTTTTTGAGACAGGGCCTTGCTAAATTGCCCAGGCTGGACTTGAACTTGCCCTCCTCCTGCCTCAGTTTCCCAGAGTTCTGGGATTACAGGCTTCTGACACCACACCTGCCTCTGTCCGCTCTTTGACATCTTCATGGCCAAGATGGGAACAGCTGGCTTCATTTGCCCAACTGTAACCCACTCCCAAAGTGAAGAGGAGCAGAGCCGCTTCCCAGGGGCCAGTGGGTGGGAGTGAACCTCTCACCCCCAGTGAGGCCCCCAGTGAGGGGATGGGCCTTGAGATGTAGCTCTCGGTGCTGGGGACCTGGCTGTGACCCAGCTGTAGCAAGGCCCTTGTCCTCACGGAGTGGGAAACTGTGGGAAGAGGACGCCAGTTGCACAGGGTAAAAAACCAGGTGAATTGGCACATGCCTGTGATCCCAGCGTTCAGGAGGCTAAGGCAGGAGGATCACCAAAGCCAGCCTGGGCCACAGAGTGAGACCCTGTTTCAAAAAACAAAGAAATAAACAACGTAAAAGCCCGTGAACAGGACTTTTCAGATACAGGCTGGTGGTAGGGAGCTAATAGAAGAGAACAAGAGGGAAGATACAGAGTGATTAGGAGGAGGATATGTGGATTGAGCTTTCATTCATTCATTCAACAAACACTTCTTAGACTGGTCTACCAAACCTGTGCAGTGGGTGTTCATTTTATCTTTTTTGTGGGGGGGTACTGGGAATTGAACCTGAGGACTTTGCACTGAGCTACATCACCAGCCAGCCCTTTTTATTTTTTATTTTGAGACAGTCTTGCTAAATTGCCCAGATGAGGCTCAAACTTTGGATCCTCCTGCCTCAGCCTCCCAGAGCTCTGGGATCATAGGTGTACACCACCATGCTGGCTTAGGGTGTTCTTGGCAAAAATCAACGCAGCCCCCACACTCAGGGAGAAATCAAGCTGGAGGGGGAAAAAACAGAAAAAGGAGAGTCGCACCCCAGGGCAGTGGGTGAGAATGGTGCCCAGGGAGGGAAGGAGGTTTTGGGAGCTGGACTTTGGAGGATGAGTAGGAGTTTGCCAGGTGAGAAGCAGGGCATTTGTACTGAAGGAGAAACCAAGTCAGACCCAAGGAGAGGAGGGAGCCGGCCAGGTCCAGCAGTGACCGCGGTGCCCCTGCAGCGTACTGGAATGCCACCCGGGCCTTCATGATCCTGTCCACCCTGTGCGCCACCTTGGGCATCATCATGGGCGTCCTGGCCTTCGCCCAGCAGTCCACATTCACCCGCCTCTCACGGCCCCTCTCTGCAGCCATCATGTTCTCTGTCTCCGGTGAGTGACCCCTCCCTCCCCCAACCTCACACCCCAGCTCCATCACCACTGCCTCCTCACCCCCGCACCCCCACACACCGGGCCCAGGGGGATTCAGCGCTGAGCTGCACCTGGCCTTTCTGTGGTCTTCACTTTGAGAAGAAGGGTCTTGCTGAGTCAGTGAGTGACTGCCCAGGCTGGACTCAAAGCTGTGATCCTCCTGCCTCAGCCTCCCACAGTGCCAGGATTAGAGCCCCACCCTGAGCCACGTCGTCTTATTAGCATCAATTCCTGTGTGGTGCCGGGGCACAGTTCCCAGGGGTGTCAGGAAAGACACCCTTAGGACTCAGGATATTCCAAGAACTTAGTCTCCCTCACTGAAACCAGACATCCAACCACCCAACCACCCCCACCCTAATCAACCTCATTCTAAAATTTTTGGTCAGAGCCCAATACCTGCACTTACTTGTAGAGCATGTAGGCCCAGTCCAGCCTGGAGAACACTCACACTCTCCCTCTCTCCCCGCCCCCTTCCACCCTGCACCCCTCTCTCCCCAGCCCTTTTTGTGCTGTTGGCCTTGGCCGTTTACACCGGAGTCACCATCAGCTTCCTGGGCCGCCGCTTCGGGGACTGGCGCTTTTCCTGGTCCTACATCCTGGGCTGGGTGGCCCTGCTCCTGACCTTCCTCTCAGGTACTGGGCGGGGGAGGGCGTGCATGACAGGCTCCTCCACCCCGGGGGACCCCAGGCCCTGGTCTGAAGGCTGGCTCCAGGCCTGAGCAGGCTGGGGACCGCGGGCCCTGGGGACAGACTCAGGGGACCTCTCTCTTTTCTGCAAGGCATCTTCTACATGTGCGCCTACCGCACGCAGGAGGGCCCGCGCCTGTCCGCCCCGCGCTGAGGAGGGGAAGGGTCCCGGCCTGCGACCCGGGTCCTGGGGGCGTGAGGGGCTCGGAGGGGCCCTGATTCCTGTGTCCTGAGGGGAAGGGGGAGAATTGGGCCTGGTGGAAGGCAGCAGAGAAGCCCCACGCCCCAGCTGCCGGGTGGGTTGTTAGTCGAATATCCCTTAGTGCTGCGTTGTGAGGCCTAATAAAAGCCACGCGAACCTGTGCAGGCGCGAGTCCTTGGGGGCCGGCCGTGGGCGGGAGCGGCGCGTGCGTGGACCGGGGGGTTAGTGGGGACCAGACTGAGGTCATCACATCCCCACCCAGGCTCCGCTTCAAGAGATGGGCGCGTGGGGTGGTGCCCGGCACGCGGTGCACTTCTGGAATCCCAGCACTCAGGAGGCTGAGGCAGGAGGGTTATAAATTCAAGCCCAGCCCTGGCAATTTATCAAGACCCTGTCTCCAAATAAAAAGTGAAAAGGTCTAGGGGTATAGCTTGGCGTGACTTCCCTGGCTTCAACCCTCACGACCTCAAAAAAATAGTTTAGCACTTGTGCTAATAAATGTTATATGAATAGGGCTTTTTTCCTAAAATATTTACTGGGGCCTCCAAATAATAATATTTTATTTATAGAAGCTTTCTCTAATAGAATGGCAGTTGAGGTCTTCTGTAATAATTCACTGCACCCTGTATAAGTAGAAGCGTTACCAAGTCTTAGTCTAGTAATTACATTTACAGGGACTTAGCAGTAGTGATAACGGAATAATTATAGCGTCAAACTCCTATCTTACTGGCTTACTCAACATTTCCACTCGAGCTGGGGATTTAGCTCAGTGGTTCTGCGGCCTGCCTCACAAGCTCAAGGTACTGAGTTCGATCCCCAGTGGAAAAAAAAAAATTCCACTTGAAAAGCACAGGCATCTCAAATGTCATCTCAAATGTCACAGGTCTAAAAATAAATTCTAATCTCTCCACCCCAAGTGCTCCTCCCTTGGTCTCCGCCACCTTAGGAACCAACGACTACCATTTGTTATCAGTTGTCAGGCTGGCCTTGAACTTGGGACCCACAGCCTGCTAGCGGGCTGCCTGGCCTGGCTGGCCCTGCCCTCCCGCTGTGGAATACACTGCAAAGCTAAATTCCACCAAGGTCGTCCGGCCCCCCTGTGTGCTGGCCCCCACGCGCTCTGACTCCTTGGAAACTCAGGGCGACCCCTAAGGTCAAGGCTGCTGTGGAGGGAGGGGATGGTGGAAGGGGTGGGGTTATGGGCGGGCTGGATTCACACCTCTGGGGTGGGAATGGGTGAGCTGTTGCCAGACCTCAGCCCCCCCCCCCGCCCCGGAGATCAGACAGGGGCACTGTGGTGTAGGGCGCTGCTGTCAGTCACATTTTGGCCCTGTGGCCTGTGGCCCCAACCCACGCTCCCCAGGTAGGCTATTCACAGGGCTTCGAGGGTTCCTTCCCCGATGGGCAGGGGCTGAAACTTTCTCCGGGCAGAAGCTTTTCCTGCTCTGTCAGCCTCCTTCCAGCCCAGGCATGGACCCGCCCTCCTGAATGGGCCAGAGGTCTTTGTTCAGAAGTCACCTTCCCAGGGAGGTACCCTGGCCTCCCTACCTAAAATCACAGCACTCCCGCCTCCGGCTTTGGGTTCTCTGCAGCACTTTTCACACAGTGCTTATTTTTCGTTAACATCTCAGTGTCTGTCCTCCAGCGTGAACTTGAGCACCATCAAGGTAGAAATGTGTGCCTACGTTTGATCATCTCTAGATCCCCGGTGCTTCCAAGACAGCACTTGGTGGTCGCTGGGAAGAATATTTGTTGGGCGATAAACATTTATTCAAGCCAATTGATGAGTATTTATTTATTTATTTTTTTCGGTACCAGGGATCGAACTCAGGACCTTGCGATTTGCAAGGCAGGTGGTGATGCCACTGAGCTAAATCCCCAGCCCTGATGAGTATTTATTAATGCCAATATTATTGGGATTTACTCTAAGAATATTCAGATTTAATCTGCGTTGCTAAAATAAACTACCTTAAATATCACTAATAGACCAGGTCTCTGTAGAAATGATGATGCTTTTCCATAGTAGCCGTTCCCCAAGAGTACAGGATTGAACCCCAGCCTCAGGCATGCTGGACAATACGGAGCTCCATCTCCAGCCCTTTTATTAGTCAGTCAATTAGTTGTTTAAATGAGAGTCTCACCAAGGTACCCAGGTTGGCCTTAAACTCGTTATCCTCCTGCCTCTGCCTCCCAAGTCTCTAGGAGGCCCCTCCTGGAACTGAATATATAATGTAGTGTAGTTCATGGGCAGTGAGGGTCCTACAGAGCGTGTGCAATCCCCAGGTTTGAGCCCTGCAATTAGACTTCATCCTTGCTTTAAAGCTCTTGAGATCTGAAACAAAAGAAAATATGGGAAGTGGTAGAAGGTGAGACACAGAATCACAATGTGTGAAAGAAGATGTAATTGGGGCGAAGGTGTGAAGGGGATCCCAGGCCGGGAGTGGGGCCTTGGGGACCTCAGCGCTGAAGGTGGAGTCCACACCAACAAAGCAGAGACCAGGTCTCTGGATGCTCAGGGTGGCCTCCCGGCTGGGCAGAGCTTCAGGGGCCCCTGGCAGGTCGATGCTGCAGGATTCCATGGCAGTTGGGAGCTACAAGGAATTCTGGAGCCTGGGAGACGTTGGAAGGGCTGGAGGAAGTTGGAAGAGGCTTGGGTTGATTCAGAAAACCTGGCAGTGGTTAGACAAGATAGAGACCTAAGGAAACCAGCAGTTTGGGCATTGTGGCCAGGCAGGGGACAAACTCTCAGCAGGGGCTCTGTGCAAGACCAGAGATTCCCCTCGGCCAACCTGAGACCGCATCTCAGGTGTGGCTTGGCAGGGCAACGCCACGCCAGCCCTGCCCCTGGGCTCTTCGTGGGGCCTTCCGCTGCCCGTCCTGGCTCGCTGGCACCGACAGCCTGGGCCTGGGGTGCAGAGACCCGTGGGGCTCACTTGGGGGAGGTGAGAAGAAGAGGGAAGTGGGCAGGGTGAGGAGGGACAGTGGGCTTGGGGCTGGACCTATGAGGACAGAGTTAACTTTGGGGGTGAAGGCGGGGTTGGCTTTGGAGTGCATTTGGGTCAAGGATGGAGCAGCACTGGGTGGTTCAGGGCCAAGGCTGAGCTTGTGGGTGAGGCTGGAGTCAGGATGGTGTTCTGCCTGGGGGCAGGTGATGGGTTGTATTCAAGGGTGCAGGAGGAAGAAAGCAGTCAGAGGCCACAAGATGAGCTCTGTGCTCACCACACACGCAAAGGCCCCGGCTTCCTGCTGCTCCTCACACAGCCCTGCCCATGGCTCTTACTGTGCTGCCCCGATGACCTCCGTCCGCCCCTGGGAGCCTGTGCTCCTGAGCATGGGTTCAACAGTGGCACCTTCCTCACCCGTGAAGGCCGTGCATGGGATGGGCCTGCAAGTTAAGCCTCTGGCATTAAGGAGAGGACACTGCCCCCTCCCCCTTAGTGGCCAACCCGGAAGAGCTGGCCCAGTGCATCATCGTGATCCAGGTCCTCTTCCGGGTCATTTTCCAATCCACGGAGGTCGAGATTTCCTGAGCCTGCTGCCTGGGCTGGGGCACATTCACCTTATACCTGCTGCAGGTGTGGTGTCACCCAGGACCTGCTACATGAAGAGACAGGTGCTTGGAGGCCAAAGGACCCTCCGCTGGCATTTTTGTCCCCACTCCCTAGACACCTGACCCTCATGACAAGCCCCCCAGCCCCCGTGTTGGAGGACCCAACCCAAGCAGACTTAGTTACCACTCCACTCATGATCAGTGAGGCTGTGGGCAGCTCCTTCCTCTCCACAGCCCTTCTGAATCAGAGCTCTCCACCCTGTGTGCCCGGCCCGGGCAGGGCTCCAACCAGGGACCTGGAGTCTGAGCCCCTGGCCTGTCCCTTCTTCCCTCCGCTCTGGAGCGCTGGGCCCCAGGCCCCACCTTTGCTAGAACCTTGGAGCTGGGGCCCAGCTCCCAGCTCGGAAGGTTGCACAACCACAGGAAAGTATGACATGTCCCCAACTGTCCCCCACCGGCCACATCTCCCTCCCTTCAACTCACTCGGGGGATGGTCGGTCACCTCCTACCTGTGGCCCCCCAGGCTCTTGCCACTTCCAGGAAGCCTGGTGTGGGGGGTGCTGGTGTGGGAGGCATAGCACCCGCGAAAGAGGCGAGTTCTAAACCACACCTAAACCACCTCTGATGTGACGCCCTGCGGGGAGAAGCCTGTGGGGAGGACTCTCTGCCTGCAGACCAGGAAGGCAGGGGGTGTGAAGAGCGGCTGCCCGCCCGCCGGGAACTGTGTGAAGCCCCCCTCCCTGCGCACTGTTGCGAAGCACCCTTGGGCACCATCACTGCCACTCCTGCTGCTCCAGCTCACAGGACTCAGGAGCCTCTTTGTCCCTCAGAACCCGCAAGCCCAGCTCTGGCCCATGGAGCCCTGTCGGTCCCTGGCCCTGCTCGCCGGCTCCTTGGGCCTGGCGTCCTCCCTGGTGGCCATCAGCACCGACTTCTGGATAGTGGCTGTGGGGGTGACCTCAGCTCACTCGGGCCTCTGGCCAAAAGGGGGCCAGGACGATCCAGTCAAAGGTAAGGGCTGGGCTGTCGCGCGGGGAAGTGGCCGGGTGGGGACACGCTCGAAAGTCTTGTCTCCGACGAGCAGGCTACATCCACGTGACACAGAGCTTCTGCATCCTGGCCGCCCTGTGGGGCCTGGTGGCCGTGGGTTTCCTGGTGCTGTCCTGCATCCCTTCGCTGTCTGTCCCCCGCCGCGGGCCTCTGGTCTCCACCGTTATGGCGCTTGCTGCAGGTGAGACCTCTGGGCTGGGCTCAGAGCTGAGGCAGGGGCCCCTGAGGGCTCATCTGTCTCTTGTCCTTGTCCCCAGCCCTCTCCATGCTGGTGGCCATGGCGGTCTACACCAGTGAACGGTGGGGCCAGGCTCCGCACCCCCAGGTCCAGACCTTCTTCTGCTGGTCCTTCTACTTGGGCTGGGTGTCCGCTGTCCTGTTCCTCTGTGCAGGTGACTATGCAGCTGCTCACCTCCCGGGGGGCTGGGAGGACCTGGGGTAGAGAGAGACAGGTGGGGAAGCGCGTACACTCTCTGCCACCCCAGGTGCCCTGAGTCTGGCCGCCCACTGCGGTACCCAGCGGCCCGGCTACGAAAGCTTGTGAGCAGACCGGGAGAAGGCCGTGAGGAGCGTGAGAACAGGGCCCGGAAGTCTCCTCAGGCGCCATGGGAAGGAGGGCTTGGCGCGGCCTCCATCCCTCCCTCCAAGCCCACCCCCCTTCATTCACTGCTTCACTCGGTCAATAAAAAATTTGCCAACATCTGGTTCTGCCAAGGTTAATTCGGTCAAGGCATAAGCTACTAGCTGGGAGGCTGAGGCAGGAGGATCGAAAGTTTGAGCCCAGCCTGGGCAAATGAGTGGCTTCATCAGACAGACCCTCTTTCAAAATTAAAAAAGATGAAAGGAGACATAACCATATGTCAGTGACAGGGGCACCCAAGAAAGGGGACGCCAACCAGGGCAGGGGGCAGTCACGGCCTGGCAGTTGGAGTGGGCCAGGCAGTAGCCCAGGGAGGGCACCCAGAAAGGCTGATGGTCAGGAGAGAGGGGCGGGTGGCCTCTCTAGGGAAAGTGCTCAGGAAGTTCTTGAGGGCCATGGAAAGGTGCTCTGCACCAGGCAGAGGGCCCTGAGCTGGAGCCATGGGGTTTCCAGGAGCCCTCAGGGAATGGAGTGGGGTCCCCGGGCTAGGATGCAGAATGGAGGTAAGGGGACAGGCTCAGCTCTGATTCTCTCTGGGGACACGGGGTGGGGGCTGGGACTGGAATTTGGAGGCAAGAGCAGGCCGGGAGGGTGGGGCCTGGCCAGGACCTGGGCCCAAGATGGAAAGGAGGGAACAGGCCAGGCAGACGTGGGGGCAGGAGGAACAGTGCTTGGGGGACCGTGGCTTTGTGGGGTGACAGCAGGAAGGGGGCAGGTTAGTGTCCTGACAAACCGGGAAATGTGGAGCCATCCTGGGTTGGGTGTCAGGGTCCCAGGGGACAGCTGGAGCCGGGGAGGACTGGAATCGGGCTGAGAGAGACCTGGGCTGGAGATGGAGTTTGGCTGAGCAGGGTCAGGGTGGGGCCTCAGCGGAGAGGCACAGGCTGCAAGGGGCCTGCGAGGGCAGAGCCAGGGAGCTGGGGACCGGGAGACCTCTGGAGTGCCCAGGAAGTCAAGGGGAGAGAAGTTTCTAGGAGACTTTGATGTGCCCTGCTTTGGTCCAGCTCTCCCAGGACTCTGGGAGCTGTCATTCTGTGAAGAGAGCTGCTGACGCCCGGCATCGTGGCAATTATTAGAACTTTAGGAGGCTGAGGCAGGAGCATCAGATATACAAGTCCCATATGGTCTCAAAATAAAAACAAAAAAGACCGAGGACGTAGCTCAGGGGCAGAGCATTCTATTTTGAGTACTGCAGAGGGTGGCGAGCTGCTAGTGTGTGCCTGCGTGTTTATCGCTTTAAACAGCTCCTGGGAGAGGGGTTCTAGAACTCCTGCCTGGCTGTCTCACAGAGACCCAGTCTCCCTCCCTCTACCCCTTGGATTCTGAGTCTCAGAAACCTTGGAGAGCTGGGTGCAAGTCTGTTGGGTGTGTGTGAGGAGCAATGGACCACACAGGGGACTTTGCCCTGGAGGAGGGAGGTGCCTGGAAGGCTGGGTTCCTCCATCCATTGTGGGGAGCTCTCCAAGTCCTCTGCAGGGGGACTGGGGAATGGAGGGGGGGTCGTGTGTCCCCAGGTGGGGTTGCTGAGGAGGGACCTGGACTGTAGGGGGACCTGGGGTGGGCTCTGAAGGGGACTTGGGGTCAGCCTGTCCTACGTCTGCGGCCCTGGCAGCTGCCTGCCTGGCATGGGAGTGAAGCGGATCCTGCAGGGCTGGGGCACTTTGTTCAGCTTCTTGGCCAACGTCTTCACCATCCTGTCCATCGTAACCAACTACTGGATCCAGCGGGAGAAGGGGCACAGTGGCCTGTGGCTGGAGTGTACCCAGGGCCTGTGCTCCAACATCCCCTGCCAGAGTGAGGCCCCCACGGAGGTCAGGCCACACACTCCGAGCTCCCCCACACAGCCGGTCCTGCCCGGGGCCGCAGTGCACCCTGTGCCCTCGGCTTCCTGCTACCCCATCCTTGCTGCTACAAACACCCTTTGGCCTACAGTTCGGCCCCAGGTGGGAGGGCGGGGTTCGGGGGGCGTCCCCGCGGGGCTGATGCGGCCCATTGTCCCCAGCCACAATCTCCTTGGCTGGGGCGTGCATGGTGCTGGCCAGCGGCATCAGTGTGGTGGCCACGATGATGGGGTTGCGGATTCTGTGTCGGGAGGACGAGTCGTTGAGAGGCCAGACTACAAGCGCCTTGCTCTTCGTCAGCGGTGAGCAGGCGGAAGGTGGGCCTGGGGGGGCCGTAGGGCTCGCAATCCAGGTGGAACCCAGAGCCAGGCTGCCCGTGACAGTGGTCCGGGGCGGAGTCGGGGCGGGGTCACGAGCAGCAGGCGTGGCTGAGCAGCGAGGAGGGCGTGGCCACGG